TGTTCCTATTTTGAGTCATTCCCATTTGATTTTCCCATGTCCAATCGTGAAAACCTAAACATTGAAATCTTGAAAGCAAAACCACCTGATCTTAATCGAGAGTTATCTTAAGTGATTCCGATTATTTAAGATGTAATTAACTATAGGGGCTTGCCTTTATAGGGAACCAGGAACCCAGATAAAATAAACCTTATCTAATTTTTATGTTAGATAGGGGAACTTGTTGGCCTTTTTATAAAAGTATTTCGCAGACCAAACGGATGTCACAAATTGTTTAGTCTAGATGATTAAATCTCTATTACAAGTGATATTTATTCTTCGGGATAAATGTATTGCTTGTAGTATTGTATTAAATCATCTAAACTATTTAAAAATATGAGACTCGTTTGGTCTCATTTATTTTAAAAATTAAAATGTTACTTCTTTAAAAAAGTTATATTTATATTTAAATTATTTTCAAAATCACAAAATCACCTTTTCAAACTACGAAAGTGAAATTGAACAATAAAACGGCCGACAGTCATATTTCTTTCCTTCTTGAGTATGTTTTCTTTGATAAGTTGTAAATAAAGTAATTAATCTTGCCCTTTTCGTTCCTTATTATACAAGAATAGTTGTAATTTAATTATTGAGAAATAATAGAACATGATTTTCTCGACCTTTCTACAGTATTAGTAAGGGCTTAATGAATAAGATGGAATATTATTAATAATGAATTATTTGTAAACGGATACCAATAAATCTGAAAATTTGCAGCGGCATGCTTAAAAAAATCATAAAATGTTTGGATGTTCCTTGAAATGTTCAATATTGATTTAAATGAAGCATTAAATTATCTTTCATGACATCATCTAGTTAATAAAAAGAAAAGAAAATACTTTGTGCAAAGCAGGGATCAGTACATTCAAGAATTGAACCAAAGTTTAAGAATACAAACAAAAATTGAAAAATTAAAATATAAAATCAAACCGATCAATTAGATCACTTTTAATTTGGCTTTTCATTATGACAAAAAAGCTTATACTCGTCTTTGATATCTATGTCTAAAAAATAAATAAAAGGTAATTATTTCCAGTTTATTAAGCCTTCCATCATTAGATTAAATGTTTGGATGTTGCTTGAAATGTTCAAATATCGATTTAAATGAAGCATTAAATTATCTTTCATGACATCACTAGTTAATAAAAAGAAAAGAAAATACTTTGTGCAAAGTAGGGATCAGTACATTCAAGAATTGAACCACAGTTTAAGAATACAAACCAAATTTGAAAAATTAAAATATAAAATTAAACCGATCAATTAGATCACTTTTAATTTGGCTTTTCATTTTGACAAAAAAAGCTTATGCGCGTCTTTGATATCTATGTCTAAAAAATAAATAAAAGGTTATTATTTCCAATTTATTAAGCCTTCCATCATTAGATTATTTATCAAAACATAAACATAAATACATGAATGATGATGGATGATTGAGATATGCTTAAAAAATTGATGGATATTCGAAACATGACAGTCAGAAGTGTCAAATATCTATTATTTATTTATTAAACCAATTTGGTTCATATTTTTCTGAATGACAACAATAACTCAAAACCTAAACTAAACCATATATGATCATCTTAGTCAATAAAGAAGTACACGTAATGCAATGAAGATCGATTTCTTAACCAAAATCTCAAACCTAGACCAAAGTGATTTGAACTAAATAGTATTTTCAGTTAATAGAATTTTTTTGTTCACACCTAACGCATAGAAGGGTGAAACAATTCAGGAAGTATTTTCTCTAAAAATTTATGAATATGATAAAACAACAAGTACATGAACAAACTACCTGAATGGGTCTGTCTGCCTTATTTACAACTTTCAGCATAACAGATCTTCTTCCCAAGTTTAGTGCAATATTCCCAGAGCCACAAAGGATTTCACCAGGTAAAGTACCATTCACGTTCCCAGCAAACAAATCAAATGAAGGAACTGCAAAAAATTTACAAATCTCAACAACAAATTCATACTACGCTGAGGCTCGTCATCAATCAGAATGAAATGCAAATAGATTGAATGTCAAGTTTTACACTCCCCGGAGAAGCCCATATTGTTTAAAAAAAATACATTATCAGAATAAGAAAGTAAAGCTTCATTGAAAAGTTGATCAGTACTCAGATAAAAGATTAATGTAACACGAGCCTGGAGCCTCTCCCAAAATAAATGAAATTCTTTTCACTTACTCTAAACACAACTTTATAATAAGTAACTATAACTTAAATGCAGTTATGTCACAAATAAGCCGCCCAGGACTATATCAAGGAGCGAAAAAATTCTATTGCAATAAAAAATAAATATAAAACTGCTAACCTAATATAAAATCATATTGTTGTTAAAGTTGTGTGGCAATGTCAAGGAAAAAAATGGCTAGTTAGTTGAGTCGAAGGGATCATAAATTGTATGCTTGTAGCGTTCAAATTTAGGCTAAACCATAGAGCAGGTATCGTAATGTTGATTCGTTAAGGCTAGACTAGTTTAATTTAAGTAACAAAAAATGTTTCTTTATCCTAAATTGCTCCAACTTATGGATTTTATGATTCAAATCTGCACAACGGATTGGACTGTGTGCAAATCGAATTCAAAATGCGTTGATTGCAAACAGAACCCCTCAACTATCATTCATTTGCAAAATAAGATGTGTAAAAATTGAAAAGAATGGACCTTCTTGAATAATTGGATCCAAATTAACCAAGGTTATAGAGTGCATACGCAAAGTCGTATAAAGAGGGTTCGAAATGCATTGACTGCAATCAAAATTACTCAAAATATAATTAATTTGCAAGATAGACTACAGCACTATACCCAACACATAAAAATACCTACAAAATACATTCATATTATATGGGGCAAAATTTGCAAAAATTGCATGGGCATGGGTTGGCGCATGAATTTTGAAAGGCATATAAAATGATATACTAAGCAAGTCGATTAACAGATTAATTTAAAGAATTTCAAATAAAAAATCAATTGTAATATCAAAATATAAATTAAAAAAAAATCAAATCACATCATGCCATAATCAAAATCCTAGAAATCTTATATCTGTAATACCTCATACACATCCATCATTTGTGAATTTCCCTTAGTCCCATTCGCTCGCCATTTTACAAAAGGGCTAAAATGACTTTAACATTCCTTCCATCTCCAAAACGCACTACCAATTCCTATTCATGCATATTCCTCCCTTGTCCTTGTATCCACTCCCACGCTCGACCTCGCCCTCCTAGCAGACCTGCACTCTCGCAAACCACACACAAAACACCTCTCCAAAATGAGACCCAACACTACAGCTACAGCTCTATTTTAATTTTGAGCTTCCAAACGCCTGTCAAATTCCCCTCCCTTTCTGTTACATGCATGTTAGACTCCCCTACTTCAAAGTTATCTTCTCTCTACAAACTAGGATGTTGATGACCTAGCCAAGCTCGATAACCATGTCCCCACCATGTATGCCCATACCCAAACTCCTAGCAAATACACCAAAAAATCAGTCCATCAACGATTGACAACCACCTTTTAGCACCAAACGTCAATCTTGGACACAGTTCATTGGCTCTCTATCGTTCTTTTCTTCTCCCTCCCCCTCTTTCTTGCTTTAGAGCCCTTCCTCCCTCCCTCTATACACATATGAGAGATGATAGAGAGAGAAAACCAAAATTAGTGAATAAAACAAGAGAAGAAAAAGAAGATGATGATGATGAAGAAGGAGAATAATAATAATAATAATAACAATAAAAGAATAAGAAAAATAAAAACTCTATCCGGGAAAAAATAAGAAATGAGGAAGAAATATCCATGTTGGCTCAAAAAGATTCAGAAATTTCGAAGATGAAATTTTTATTAGGATAGGAGAGTTGTAATACGCAATTTTGATAGGGCGGGTAAAATTTTGGCAATTTTTAAATATATAACAATTTCTGCATTCCCCGAAATTCAACCAAATCAATTTTATAAAATTTATATATATGACCGATCAAATTTATATCCAACACCATATATGAATTTTAAATGTATGAGAAGATATAAATTTTTGAAATTATCAGTTTAATTAAATGTAATTAAGTCTAATTAATGTTCCTAATTTTCCCATTACTGCAACTTGCTAATCTCTCCCAAGCTTAGCTGGGCTGGCAGCAACTAGATGAAGATTAGGATTTAATTGGAAGTAAGTTAAATATCGCATTTCCTTCATTTCCTCCCCTCTCACTTCGTTTCCAAGGTTTGAAGCTTCTTGTGATCCACACATTGTAGTGGGCGCGATCCAAGCGCCATGACAGGGAGTTGCAACTTGTAATTCAGGGCTCTGGGAAAAAAATAGAAGTTAGAATCCATACTTCATGACATTTAGAACATTCTTTCCTTCCCTATTATCTTTTTTTTTCATTTGCCAAGAAGAGAAGCATTCACACATCCCCGTTATTGTAGCAGGAGGTGGGAAACTAAGAAGTGCATCTCTTATAGAACTGATAGTAGGAAATTTGTGATGAGAAAGAAGAAAAAAAAGGAAGAAAGGAGTAGTCATGGAGGATTTATGTTGGGAAGCCCTTTGGAGGTAAGTTATAGTAAGTGATTTGTATTTGGAAAAAAATCAAGACATAAGCAAGAATTTAATGAATCTTTAAGAGTATTATGATTCCAACTGGTTACACTAGGCAATGAGCGTGAGGCAAGCTTGAGAAAATTCGCCGCAGGGCAGTTCCATCAATTCAGGTGAAATAACCATATGCTAAATTAAGAAGAATATATTTTTGTAAGATTTCACTATGATTTTTTTTTAAATATAATTGCACTTAAAAGTTCTTTATATTATTGAATGCATGCACATGTTACATGAATGAAAGCTTGAACTAGCGGTGACCATAATACGATTTTCATATTGTATTGATATGATGAACATCTTTATGAAAACTTCACTTGCAAGTATTCTTATCATATAGTTTATGCATATGATTTTCCTATGATGGACGCTAGTTACATGAATTATGATTACAGGAATATCACAAAGTGTTATCAAAGGTAGACTATTACATGGATCTTTGCAAGTCAAGATGATAGGGAACAATGGGATTCCAAACTTCAGGTATTCAAACGCAGACATATCCAAAAACTATTGGGAACGGATATGGATAAAATTTTATGATTTGATGGTATTAATTGGGCCATTGATAACTTCTATGTTAGGAGAGGCCTAATTTTTATCAATAGTGAATTTAGCCTTCGAGGAGAGTGATGACAAAATGATATGAAATGACATGAATCTCTAAGAGTATTATGATGCCAAGTGGTTACACTAGGCAATGAGCGTGAGGCAAGCTTGAGAAAATTTGTTGCAGGGCAGTTTCATCAATTCAGGTGAAATAGCCATATGTTAAATTAAGAAGAATATTTTTTTGTATTGCACTTATAATTTTATGATATTATTGAATGCATGCACATGTTACATGAATGTAAGTTTGAACTAGTGGTGACCATAACACAATTTTCATATTGTATTGATATGATGAACATCTTTATGAAATCTTCACTTGCAGGTATTCATACATATAGTTTATGCATATGATTTATGATTTTCCTATGATGGATGCTAGTTACATGAATTATGATTACAGGAATATCAAAAAGTGTTGTCAAAAGTAGGCTATTACATGGATGTTTGCAAGTAAAGAAGAGAGGGAACAATGGGATTTCAAACTTCAGGTACTCAAACGCAAACATATCCAAAAACTATTGGGAATGGATATGGATGAAATTTTATGAATTGTTGGTATTAATTGGGCCATTGATAAATTCTATGTTGGGACAGGCCTAATTTTTATCAATGGTGAATTTAGCCTTTGAGGAGGGTGACGACAAAATGATATGAAATGACATGAAAGTAATCAAAACCTATACAATTGCAAGTGACAATCCTATGATTACACTGATTGATTATGAAATTCTTAAGGATATGCCCATAATTACAAATGTATGGATGAATCGCATGCTTCGTACAACTGTCTTGATTTAGTACATTTCACATCTTTCTTTATATGTTTTACATGATTAAAGTATATTGTGATAATTTCTACTATCATGTATCTAAACTACATATAATATGCACTTTGTCTTTCTTTCCATATATAAAATCTTTCTTTAGGCTTGGTTATTTTGTTGAGATTAAAGTTTATATGTTGTTAACTGTCATGAATGAGTAAGAAGTATCAATGCGAATAGCCAGGTGTGATATTGTACAGCTTTTGCAGTGTATAATTATAAAGCTTCTATAGATTTTTATTTTTTATGAGTAATATTCAAGCTTTTAAAATTTGTGATGTTCATAATGAAGCAAATGCTATGTGAGATAAAGTAACAAAAGTAACAAACACTATAAAATAAATAGCAAAAGATGTATTTGGAGAATCAAAAGAAAATATTTCTTTAAATAAAAATAGCTGGTGGTGGAATAATAATGTACAAGAAAAAATAAAATATAAAAAGTTATGTTATAAAAATTGGTTTAAATGTAAAAGCTTAGAGAACTAAGAAAAATATCAAATGGCCCGCAGGGAGTCTAAAAGAACAATATGTGAGGCTAAAAATTCTGCTTTTAATGATCTTTATAATAGATTGGAAACTAAAAATGGTGAAAATACATATGTATAAACTAACAAAACAAAGAGAAAGAAAAGTAAAGATTTAACTCAATTAAAATGTATTAAAGATGAAAATCAAAAAGTGCTTTTCTTAGACTAAGATATTCAACATAGATAGGTGAATTATTTTGATAAACTATTTAATGAAGTTTCTTAAAATACGATCGACCTTAGTGATCTTAATATCGTTAGTAATAAAAAAACGTTTCATTTTTACTGTCGCATTAGTAAAAAAAAAGCTGATGAGGCTTTAAAAAAAACCAATGTTGGAAAATTTTGTAGGACCTGATGATATCCCAATTGAAATATGAAAATGTTTAGGAGATTTGGGAGTTTCTTGGCTTACTAAACTCTTTAATATTATTTTAAAAACTAAAAAGATGCTTGAGTGGAGAAAGAGTATTTTAGTCCCCATTTTTAAAAATAAAGGAGATACACAAGTGTGGAAATTATAGAGGAATTAAGTTGATGTGTCATACTTTAAAATTATGGGAGAGGGTAATTGAACATAGGTTAAGACGTATTACAAAGATTTCTCATAATCAATTTGGATTTATGTCGAGCAGGTCTACTATGGAAGCTATACATTTATTGAGAAGTTTGATGGAGAAGTTCAAAGACAATAAGGAAAATCCACATTTGATTTTTATTGATTTAGAAAAAATTAACGAAAAGATTCCAAGAGAGATCCTTGGGAGAGTTCTTGAGAAGAAAGGTGTTGATATGACTTATATTCAAGTCATTAAAGATATGTATGCTAGAGTTGTTACTTGTGTTCGAAGTGGAGGATTGACCAAATATTTTCCTATTTATGTTGTATTACATCAAGTATCGTCTTTAAGCCCATATCTTTTTGTTTTAGTTATGAATTGTCTTACTAGACATTTACACGAGGATGTACCTTAATGTATGCTTTTTACTGATGATATCCTTCTCGTGGATAAGACGAGAAAAAAAGCCCAGGAAAAAACTTGAATTATGGGGGTCTACATTGGAGTCTAAAGGACTTCATTTGAGTAGAACTAAAACTGAATACATGGAATGTAATTTTAGTAGTAGTAGCTCTAGTGACAGAAGTGTAAATTTGGATAATCAAATTACTAAAAGGTGTGAACGATTTAGATATCTCGGGTTTGTTGTTCAAAGCGATGGTGATATAGATGGGGATGTTAATAGTAGAATTCAAGTTGGTTGGTTGAAGTGGAGAAATGCTTCAGGCCTTTTGTGTGATAGAAAAGTACCCCTTAGACTGAAAGGAAAATTTTATAAGACGGTGTTGAGACCTGCAATGCTCGATGGAGCTGAATCTCGACCTTTAAAAGAGAAGCATAATACTAAGTTAAGTGTTGCCGAGATGAGAATGATTAAGTGGATGAGTGGCTTTACACTTAAAGACAAAATGCGAAATGATTATATTTGTAAGTGGCTTTACACTTAAAGACAAAATGCGAAATGATCATATTTGTAATAGGGTTGGTGTAGCTCATGTGGTGGATAAAATTGGAGTGAGTCGTCTTAGATGGTTTGATCACATTAAACATCAACCATCTAATAATTTTGTTTGGAGAATAGATATTTTTTATTCGACTTATGTTAAGAAAGACAGGAATAAGCCAGACCTAGGAAGACATGGGCTTATTGTATAAAAAATGATCTTAATTTATTAGATCTAAATGAAAATATGACACTAAATAGGACGGAATGGAGAAAAAGGATTCATGTAGCCGACCCCACCTAGTGGGATTAAGGCTTGGTTGTTGTTGTTGTTGTTGTTGTTGTTGTTGTTGTATATAGACTTTTGGGTACGTATGTTTTTTATGTTGGATTTTTAGAAATCCTCTATATGATTCTTGATGAAATGACTTTACACGCTATCAAGTATATAAAAATATGAATGAATTATGAATTGAAATATATTATAATTATTTACGATGATTTAAACTAACTATTACCCGTTGGGTCGTGATTATACAAGTAAGGACGAGTATTGGTGAAAACTTAGTTGGACTGAGTCATCCGCAGCTGTCGCCCTATTGTGACCCTAAAGGGGGTTAGTTGGGGCGTGAAAGCATCAATTTCCTTTACTAAAGGTCACATATTTTACTGACAGATTAAACCTCAAAATAGTTTCCATATAATTTGTGGCCAATTTTGTCCAAAAGTATCACATTTCTCAGATTTAGCTTCTCATCTACAATATTTGATCCAAAATAGTCTCATGTATAAATTTTAATATAAAATTGATCCCAATTTAATCGACTATACAAATTTTGGAACAATTTTCTATAATTGATGGACTAATTTGAAGAAATGTAATTCCATAGAATTAAATTTACCACATGCAATTAGTTAGGGTCTATTTTAAAGTATAATTTTTTTTCTAATTATACTAATTACAATTTAAACATTTCAATTCAAACACATGAAATCAAAGTCTCATGTATGTAATGTATGAACTTAATAATATTAATTTAATATAAGAATCTATAAATATAAGTGTTAGACCGTAAAATAATTCATACATATCATTATGCATATGTAGCAAAATTAAGAAGGAAAAACTGAGGCAATCATTCAAAAAATGAGTAACATCTATTGAAGATATGTTTGCTGAAAATATACTTAGACATGCCATTGACAATGCGCCCAATGGAAAGATAAAACTAGTGTTATAAAATTTAGAAGGAAATCAAGTCGGCTAACATAACTAAGAGTTGTTAAAAAATTTTGTGAAGAATAGATTTAACAAAAGAGAAACAAGTAAAAAAATGAGAATCATAAAACAAACCTACAAAAAGTTGAGATAAAAGTAATGATGATGACAATGATAATAAACATATAATGCCAAATTGGAAACCAAAAACAGCTATTATTGCATCCAAAAAAACCCAGGGAAGTTCATAAAACATCACAATCAGTAATATATATGAAAATGGATGCCATATAGAACCGTACATCTGGAAAAGAGTAAGTTAGCTTGAAAAATAGATGCCTTCCTAATCTAGCAACAGCAACACACGCTTTGGCTTATAACAATGCCTGCAGGAGTAGACTTCCCTCTAACAAATATAGCAAAGTCTCCATACAAAACAACCCATTTTAAGCAGAACAGGCAATATGTGCTGGCCATGTAAAATCAAAGAAAGAAACTTTGGCTTTATCGGCATGACATACCAGGTAGAAATGAGCCATATAATGCTAGCTGAAGATTTCCATTCTCTGAAGCAATTGGATCATGTATGGTGACTAATTTGGTTCCATCCAAAAAGGTTCCCTCAACCTAGCCATGAAAAAATTGTTAATTGCATAAGCATTTCATGATTAAAGATATAGCAAAAGCAAAATGGAAAAGCAAGCTTAGAATCGATTAGTATTGACTTTAGCTTATACAATCTGAACTATGGGGCAAAATTAATAGGTTATCAAAAGTTTTAACCAATTCTTGCAGCTTTAGCCAACTCATTTTACATGCCAGTGTTTCTTATCCCTTAATTCACTATCTAAATTCTCATAGTAAATCAGTTACCTAATATGCGTTGAAAATATCCCAAACTTGCGTCTTTTCCTTTGGTTCTTTACATGGAAAATTAATTTTCAAAATAAGAAAGGCAACATATAAAAGCAAAGTAAAAGCTCTATTACAATAGATAACACAGCAAAATGAAAACTATAATATATCCAAGTTAACGCTAGAAGTACAAAAACAAATAAATAAATAAATAAAATTATTATAGTTGTCAAGCATGTAAGCATACAAAAAAAGGTGAGAGTAACTGACGCGATAGTTGATCCCATAATCCCGAAGTCCTGCCTGCAGAATGTCCCATAAACGCGGGAACCATGACCCGGTTAGCCTAAAGCAGTCTTCTCGCTTGAATTTCTACCGTCAATTTTTTGAAGCTTTTCTATTCTTATTCTTTTCTATTTTAGAAGGCTAGTTAAAGGTTTCTTTCTAATAAGAGACTATTTATCTCTTGTTAGTTTGCTATTTTTAAGACTATTAGTTTTTTGATGTTATTTGAAGATATTTTCTCCTGATTTTTTCTATCGAAGTGTTGATCATTGAATTTCTTTCAGGCGGTGTGTTTGTAACCTAATAAAATCGAGGTGGTTATCTCTCCAGGATGTTCGGAGGCCTCCTTCGTGGTCCAACTTGCAGCAAACTTCTCTTCGCGGCAAGAAAATTGTTATTTCTTGTTCCGGTTCACTGACACATGGTCAACCACGTCAAAATTTCAGTCATCATCCATCCTTCATATCCTGTTATCCATCCTATAACTTTCCTAAATTGCATACCTTCTAGGAGCCCTAGAATGGTATCATCTAATATCAGAGCCTAGCAAACTCTAAATTTTTAGGGATTTATCTTTTTTGCCCTAAATCAAAAATTCCAAATAAAAATTTTTCCACCAGACCCAAAACATTCCTACAACAATTTTTGAGTCTTAATCTTAAATTTTCAAAATTCAAAATTGCTACCTTCACCAAAATTCCATCGAGATACATACCACCAACACCTAAGCCTCTGAACAACCTTTAATTTGCAATCATATATCTGTCAAAAAAAATTGATCGGGAGGAAAGAACGCAATGCTGCTTAGGAAAAATCTGCACAAATGTGTCCAAGAGCTCACTATGGAGAATATGAAGCAAGCAATCCTTCAACTGCAACAAAAACTTGCCTCCTTTGAGAGGAGACAACTTGGAAATGCAACCCATAGCTACAACTGTGACTAGCAAGATCGAGAGGAGAAAGTGAATCCCTTCCATCAAGAAATTTCTAGTGGCAAAGACTTTTCCTCCCTATCCTGCTATAACGATCAATATTGCATGGATTATTGATGGAGAAACCATGATTTTAGAGAGAATATTGACTTGTTGGGTTTGACGATCGTATGGATCTTGACGAATTCATCACAATGGAAAATGTCTTTAAGTAAAAAGACATCCCGTAGAGCATAATGGTAAAGCTAATCAAAATTAATTTAAAGAATGGTGCATCTCTGTTTTGAGAAAATTTGAAAAACCTACGCGAGATTGAGGGAAAAGGCAAAATCATTACTTGATCTAAGATAAAAAGGAAAATGCAACCCAAATACTTACCAGCAAGTTACAGACAAGACATGTTCTTGAGACTTCACCATTTATAGCAGAAAATTTCTCGGTAGAGGAATACACAGCTAAGTTAGAACAACGTAGGTTGAAGTGTGAGCTACTGGAGCCCAGGAGAGCACTATAGCTCAAAAAGAGAGGAGGAGGTTCGTGTGGGGTAGGGTTGGGGGGGTGTATTAAGATCATCCATTGGCCCATTGGCAACATGTCCAACTACAACTTTATTGGACATTATAAGATGTTCAGACCCTACCACTGAAGGTTGAGAGACAACACAACATTATCAAATTCAAAACCACCCTTCAAACACCATTTATCCCCAAGATCAAGCAACAAGAGTATGCTGAGTGGAGCATCCCGGCCTAACCTGTTAGAGAAAAAATCCGTTCATAATGAAGAAAAAGTGGAGACAACCATTAATCCTAAATTCATCCTAAATAAAGAGTGCTTCAAGTGTCATGATTTTGGGCATATTGTGTTTGATTGTCCATATAAAAATATGATTTATTTCACTAAGTTGGGAGCGACTAAAGAAATAAACAGTGACATACGAGTGATGAGAATGTTAGAAAAGAGTAACAACTTACAGCTGATGAGGAACAAATGTAAATGATTCGACAACTCTTTTAGACTGAGCTTGTGAGAGAAGCCCATCCCGAATTAGCATTAATTGTCCTAGAAGATAGTGAATTCAAGGAGCTCAAACAGCTGACACTAGAAACATGTCAGTCCCAATTAAGTAAAATTCATATTTTCTGACCCTCGGTCTACCTCCTATGTTGTCATTGTCGAAGAAGGTCCAACATATCATCACCTCAAATGAAGAAAAGAAATTTTGTAGCTATTTTGAGATAATTCTATGGGGTAAGCTGAGCACTAAGTTCTAGTTTAGTTCAGTAACACATTCCCAGGTACGAAATTTTTTTAGCTATTTCGAGAAGATTTTATGGGTTAAGTTGAGCATTAAGTTCCAATATAGTTCAAATAAGAGTGGTGAATTTCTAATTGAAAAAACTTTGCAAGTGTTTTGTAGGAAAGGATATCCGACAGTAAGATCCAAGTACTAGAAGAACGATAATTCTGTAATCCTGAAGTCTTGCTTGCAACTTACACGGGAACTCGACGAAATCCCATCTCGACTAGCCTAAAGCGGGCCTCTCACTCAGAATTTTTGTCGCCAAATATTTGAAAGCTTTTTAATTTTCTTATTTTCTACTTAGAAGGCTAGTTAGAGTTGCTTTCTAGTAGAAGGCTATTTATATCTTGTTATTTTGCAATTTTTTATAGATTTTTAGTTTTGTTATGTTATTTGGTGAAGTTTCTAGTTTTTTTTATCAGTGTTGCATCCTTGGATTTCTTTCGAGTGATATATCTGTAACCTGATAGGGTCAAGATGATGATGTCTCTCAGACGTTTGGAGGCCGTTCGGAGGCCTCCTTCATCATCAAACTTGCAGCAAACTACTATTTTCTTTTCCAATTCATTGTCCCGCAGTCATCCACGCCAGAATTTCAACCGCCATTTATCATCAATATCCAGTTACTCATCTTACAACTTTTGTAACACCTTATTGTATTCTCTCGTATCATTTAGGAGCCCTACGATGGTATTAGTAATATTCTACAAGAATGGCTGGGACAATGAGGGCATAAGTAGCAAATAAAAATTTGTGAAAATGCAGTTTGAATATTAATAATATATAAATCAATGATAACGTGAAAGAATGTTGCTATGAGCGTGTTGTTATGTACAGCCCACAAAATTTTTGAAATTTTATGTAAACTAAGGCCTACTTGGCTCCAAAGAGCATTTCTACTATTACTAAACTCTGAAGCCGTAGCAAAATTCAAAAGCATCAATTTACTAAACAAATTGAGGTTTTTGTCAGCACTCTACATCGATTAGCATCAAGTTGTACAAGAAAACCAATCTAAATTTCAAACCCTCTTTTACGAGAACAATTTTCAGATAAAGAAGTTTAAAAAGGAAGTAAGATTGATTCGCATAACACAATGTTTGCCATACTACATAATCAACATAAATATTTAAGATGCACATTCTGTTGTCGAGTATAACCTGAACAGTGTCTACAAGGTGTGGAACGGCTGGAAGAACCTGCTTCCTGGAAACAATGAACAAATACAAAGAAACTGGCTAGAGAGAACACAACAATGGATTAAGATGCATATTTCAGTAATGATAGTTATTACTCCCATCAATGGGCATTAAGGCTACAATGTACCCCCATGTTTCCAGAGATTTGATGATGCAACATAAAAATCCATTATTTTAGAAAATGAAAAATAAGTAGAGAAGTTCTCAGCACTAGAGTACTCGGAAGCATGAAAGAATTCCAAAGCCTGATTAAAATATATTCATTAATCCATAGCCCTTTTTCCTTCACTCTATCTCTAACCATCCATACTTCCCTTCCTCAAAAGCTCTACTCCAACAGTACCCAAGAAAAATGCATTAAAAGAAATGCCACTGCTACGTCCGTGAAGTGGAATTCTAGTCAAACTTAATAACAAGATTAATCAGTGAATTGCCGCATGTCCATTTAACAGTTGAGCAAAAAAGACTCACCAATTAAGAGTTGAGTTATAGGCATGTTCACAAATTTTCAAACCTAATGAACCAATGATGGAAAATTAAGGTTTTACATTCGCCGGAAACAAATATATGAGTATTAAGGTAAGCACCTTGTCATTCCGAGTTTTGATATTTGTTTAGTCTTCTTTTCTAATTTAGATCGTAGTAACCATACCTACAGCACTCTTCCCTATTTAATTTGATTCCGTATGTTGCTTTGAATGTAGAACTGCCAATGATTTAAAAGCAAAACCATATAAACAAAGTATTTGTATGACCCAATTTTAAAAAAGGTACAATTGTAAAATATACCGAAATTACCTCATTGCATTCTATTCTCCAAAATTATTATTTTAATATGTAGAACTAAATGTTAATTTTCATAAACAAATAAGTTAAGGAATTAGTTTTTATTTTGATTTAAATGTCAAAACGTTTTAATTAACTTTATTGTGCATTATTGTAGCACAGTAGTTGATGTTCGACATAGGACATAGATTTTTTTTTTTTTTTTGAAAGCCCAAAAAGGCTAATATATTAATTAGAAGGAAAGATACAGATACAATGTATTGGAGTGCCCAAACATGGCACCCTGCCCACACCAAAACTAGAAGGGGTTCCAAAACTAGAAAATATTGAAAAATACATTAAAGACAAAGAAAATACTAAAAATCCTGAAATACATAGTATCAGGTGGCTAGAGAGTAACTCAATTTGGTTTAGCCTCTGCCTCTGGTTCTCAGAAAGGAGCAAGCTAATAAGTTGGTAAGATGATTGTCATTACCAGTAGTAACTCTAAACCCTGCCAATAGTAACCAATGTATCATCCAATATGTTCCCTAGCTGGAGTCGGCCTCTATTCTTCTTCTTCCTCCTGGAATGGACCTGCATTCCTCTTCCGAAGATTGGTTCACCTGTTCTTGGTCTAAAGTGTGCTGAAGATGTGCAGATTGTTGAACATTTGAGGCAACAACATGTTGTATCGGCTGATCTGTTATTGGATCAAAGGAGCACTTTCATGTGTATTGGCATGTAAGTGAGTCTTTTTCAATAACAGTGGGTAGTATAAACACAACTGAATCTGTACCTGTAGTAAGTTGTTCTTTCTCAGAAACTGCGGTGTTGGGAAGAGGATCGAGTTGCATCTTCTCAACAGGGATAATAGGTGGTTGTTCTTTAGTGATATTCGGCCTTAGATGAGAATGCAAACGATAGCAACGATTTCACCCTTTTGTCAATACCCGTTGTGAATAGTGTCAATCCATATCTCATCCGAAGCTGGTTGAGTAATATCTCTCTCAACTAGCACACAAGCCACAAAAGGTCTAGTGACAGCAAGCGTGGGAATATCCACCTTCAAAGACTTCTGAGAGGCTTACCATAATAAGTTGCTAAAGAGTAGAGGATTTCTATGTTGAACAGATGTAATTTTAACCCTGTAAACTTTATCCAAACAGGAATGATAGGGGACTCCGCTTTTAGACCAAAACCGACAGTCCACTTCAGAATTTCAATAAAACGATTGTCAATAGTGATAGCTTTTCGAGAGAAAATGCGACTGAAATTAGCATTATAAGATAGCTGAATAAGTACATGTCTACCGTCAAGTAGGTCAATGCACCAACTGCCCAATAGTTTCATGGCATCAAACTTTTTCCTAATGATCTCCAGTTTTGGGTAATCATAAAGAAATTTCCCTAATAGAGAAAAATGTCAGGAGGACGCAAGAGTACAAGTTTCAACCTCTATGAGAATAAGTGCAGGCTTCCCATTTTTTTTCCAAGCTTTTTAATAAAAGTGTGATCACCTCCACCTTCAAGAGCCTCGTGGAAAAATTCTGAAACATTGCAGGACTTACCGATAGCAAAATTAGGCACTAAACCTGGAGGAGGGGCACTAGCAGGAAAAGGCAAGTCGCTGGCAATGGCATTTGCATATATATATATATATATATATATATATATATATAAAAGATTATATCTTTGCAAAAATAACGCATACACCTATTAGCTTTCACATTTTCTTCATATAGTGAGATCCCAGAGTCTGAAACCCAAAGGTACCTAGTGAAAAATTGAGGAGAAATAAAAGGAAATAAAAAGAAATAAAGAGAAGAGGGAGAGGAAGGAAAGAAAAGGCAAAGAATTGAGTTTTTGACTAAAAAGTTCAATTAGTATTTTCCTAACAAATCATTAGTGTGATAGATTTCAATACTCATATGAGAAGAAATATTATTGAAATTGTTTCCAAAGAAAGAAGTTTCGGGGTGTCCTATTTGAAGGGGTAAATAGCCGATTGGTGAATATTTACAAATTATAGCAGTGGAAGAAATAGTTATTAAATCTTTTACATGAATATGTATATGTAAAAGAGATTGATGGTTGTAAAACAAGAAATTTTTCATATTTAGGAAAGCATATTTATGGTTTTCTATTCACAAGTGAGTGACTACAAAATGATTTAGTTAATTCAAGCTCACTATCAAATATACTTTTAGTTTACAAATGTTTTATTAGTTGATGACACCGTTGAATAAATATATCTAGTACCTATAAATTGCAAATTTATATGTATTGTTATTTAGCATATTTTAATTGAATCACGTGTTTAATTAAATTCTCAACAATAAAAATAAATTGAGCCTAAGAAAATCATAATACGAAGGATAAGTTGACAATAAAATATTTATGATACCTGGACAAGTTAGGCGACAAAGGTGAGTCATAAATGAATATAAAAAACTTGTAGGGGTAGGCCAACATAGATGAGTCATATATGAATATGAAACTTGTACAGGTAGGACGACAAAAATGAGCCCATATAAAGGACAGAGTTCTCAAATTAATATGCTTATAACACCTACTAATTTCTTTAATATTATTCAACAATGATTTGGGAAGGGAACATCGTGGAACATGATAGTATTTGACCCTTATGTAGAACAATCTACAGGCTTCAAAACATAATGCATAAGCTTCGTCATTTTAATTTTAAATAATAAAAAATATGAAAGTATATCATGATGATAACAATGATATATAAAAATAAGAATTTTTAAACTTAACAAAAGGCAAGATTTTACTTTTTTTAATTTTTCTCATTATTATAACATATCAAATCACATTTGAATAGCTAATAATGCAAATTATATTAAAATTATCATATTGAAACCATTATATTAAGAAATTATTATGGAGTAAGCTTAAAATGAACTTAGGTTATACATAAGGAATCTGTGATCACAATTTAAAATCAAAATCATCAAACCATAGCTGTATTTCCCTATTCAAATGAAGGTGAATAATATAAAATAGATATTATACTTCAAAATTCTGGGGACTATAAAGTAAATGATATAAAATAAATAAGTGACAATACATAAGTTTGAGTAGGAAACGAGTGCGATAACTATATATAACAAAAGAAAGAATGATGTGGAAATGAAATGAAGTTTTTTCATCTTGAAGCTTTAGAAAAGATATCTTGAGAAATATGAGAAAACTTCCTTTTTGCCCCTCTTTTTTTGAATGTCTTATTTCGTTTCACTTCATTTTGAAATAACATAAAAAGTTGAATTAGACAATAAAAATTCTAGCATAAGCTTTCCATGTTTCAGACACATCATGAAAAATAAGCTTCACACCACAATGCTAACACAACATACTACAAATGTTTTAGTGTCACGTTTTAGAGTGTTTTTGGATCACATTACTTTGATGTGCACTTTAATGCGCCATTTTTTAACCACTATTACCTGATGGTTTTGGTTGATTCCATTTTCAGCCCATCTAATTCATGCTCGTTTGTTCCTTTCAAACGGAGTCTTTGTTGGAATGGTTTGCCTTAAGAAAAATGTGATGTAAAGCCTTATTTGGAAGCTGCTCTGTCTCGTCACTCAATAATTTTTGTGTCAAGATGTTAAGCGGCATTTTCTCTATTGATAAAATCATGTGGTTGCCATTTCCTTCTACTAACTATAGCTTGAATTTGGTTGAGTTTTTCCATCCATTTTCATTTATTGTGACTGATGTAATTTATGTGTATTGTTACCTTCTTCCTCTTCTACTGGATTTTTTCCCTAGTGCAGCAGAATCGGATGCAGGCCATTTCATTTTATTAATGTTTCTAGTCACAGGAGCAAAATCAAAGGTTGTAGACTTTGCACTATACTATATAGAAAAGTCATTGTTTATTTGTTGTATGCCATGGCCCATTCTAATCCTTCTCAGTCAAGCATGAGGCCCAACAGTGCGAACAATCCGGTCAAGCTTATTTCCCATCAGCACCAATCTTGACTTCATCAATTAAAAACAAGAGGATAGAAATTGTCTATCTAGATCATCGCAGAATATAACTCACACCTTCATTATCATCGAAATAAATACCCGATATAATTGCCAACAGAGAAACGTGCATAATTTAAATCATCCAAAGAACATCTAAGAATATCATAAATCTGTACATATTAGAAATAGCCTTTACATCATCAACATTCTTCTTTATTTCATTCAAACTTGTACATTTAAAACT